ATATCTGAGGGCAGCCCAGGCCAGTTTGTCCCCTGCTTGGTCAAGACATGGCGTGTGATGTCATCTCGAGATCCAGGTCACCGAAGCATGAGGCCTGGCTTTGGCCTGTTTGGCTCAGCTGAGAGTTCCAGGAAAGTAGCGCCGGCATGTTATGGTTCTTGTTGGGACACATTTTACATGTTTGCTTTTTGTGGTTTAGTGGGAACTCCCCACTTAACTGCTAAACATTAAATTGTTGCTCCCCTTCCAACGTCAACCAAGATGTAGCTACCTAAGGGTCACGGATTCATGTGTTTGGGTCTCGGAAAGGTAAATCAACCTTTTGACTTTTTCATGTTTTATCGCTTGTAACCAGCACATCGTTTTTTCAGTCAAGGCTAATCACGTTGGATCAGCTTCTCAATTTGAGCTGACTTTTGGCGTGCTTTTGACAGATAATGCGCTGTGAGTTTTTCCGAATTTGGACACACGGAATGGTCCTGTTGGTTTTCCTTTAAAGCGAGAAGGGGTACCAACTCCAAGAAAAGGCGAACCACCCATGTGTGGTTCAGTTCACCCACCGATTTGGGCAAGTTGACCATGGGTCCGGAAATGGTCCGGTTTGCGGGGAGAAGGATGGGTGAAGAGGGTGGAGAAAGTGAAGACTTAGCAAAAGGATTGCCATTTTTTTTCGTCAGGAGTCCAAGTACAAGAGGGCCTTGCTAGGCAAGGCGGCAGTGCCAGTCTCAGCGTTTCACCCGGCATCGGTGTCAGAACGCTTTCATTGCTCCCTGGCGCAATGGGGCAAAATCGGCTCCGATTTCACCGCAACGGTCTACTTGATAGGTGAAACAAAAGGAAATGCGGTTAACGTGAGGACGATCGATTGATATGTGCCCTCCAATCAATTTGAGTGGACCCAAAATGACCCAATACAGTAGAGCAAACCACAAAAACATGTCTGGGGTCAGATGTCCCCCCAGTAGTCTCTGACCGAGTACTGTTTGCTATTGGTTTAGTGTTGGTTAATATAGCTGTGCATTGCTTTGGTCATGGCTGGGTATTTAGCCTGCGTGATCTCAAAGGTGGTAAACAATAGACAATCATGATTTCTCATGTTTTATCAAGGGGATCCTTTACGGAATGATGCAGTCCGAATTGATCAAACCGCTGCTCGGGTTGGTCCAAAACCGCGTGTTGAGATTTCGGAGTCTTGACCATGGAACCATCTTGATCACAATGGTTTCTGAGCAACCAACACTACTCGCATGTTGCGTACAGATGTGGAAGGAATGATGGCTCCCCTGTGAATACAGAAAAACAAAGGTTGCCCATAGTTTCAGTTAGTGCGAACGGATTTTGCAACCATCCACAGTATTGCACCTACAAATTGCTCCTAAAACCAAGTGACCATGAAACCCATGGAACTCATTTCCTCTCGGCTCACATGAGCTCACAGGGTTCCATAGCTTATGGGACCTCATGGGCAGCTCGTTGGTTTTTGTTTCTTTAGGATTTGGATCCCCCAAAATGGCGCAACAGCTTTCCCTTGGGTTACCCAACATCAAGACAAACCCATATGCCATCATATGCCCATGTGGGTGTGACTTAAAATAGGGGACCGCAACAATTGTTTGGCTTCCCTTTGGTTTCCCTTTGGTTTCCCTTTGGTTTCCCTTTGGTTTCCCTTTAAACCAAGCCCAACAAGGCTGCCATCCCATAGGCAGACCCATTCAGTCCCTAGGCTCGACCGGTCACTTTGCACCTGAGGCTGACCTTCCGAAAACTGCTTCAGTGGAGGCCCGATGCCGGCCGAATCACAAACGGTAGCTCAGATAGAATTCTCTTCTAGGTCCCCCAAGGTGCCCTTTCTCACCATTTCTTTTTGGGGGAGGGTTCCCCCACCAAAATAGACTACAGAAAAAAAGGTACCCTTATTCTAACCGCTCCACTGGAGGACCTAATCTTTCTTAGCGGTGCCCAAAACAAACGCTTTTGGCCCCCAAATTCTACTTTATTTTTGAAACCAAAGGTCAAAAGGTCCATTTGCACACACAAGGCTTGCCTTTCTGCCCATGGCCGTGCCGGGAAATAAGTTGTACTTCGCAGTCTCCAGTGGAGAACAGGCAAGCAAATGGCATCATAGTGGGACAACTGTCATGATCCCTTGGTGGCTCCCAGCCATCCGGTTCAACTTAGCCTTCTTAGCCTTTTAGTGTTTAGTGGTAGTTTCCATTTAACCCAGCACAGGTTAAACCTTCAGCGGGGGATCTGAGGGCAGCCCGGGTTTAGCACTGGCCATCGGCTCCGGATTTCTGGGAGATCGCTGACGGCCAAAGCCGCGCAGGCCCGGCTGGGGGCAGATTTTCGAAGGACTGGAGTGAGAGAGAGCGAGCGAGAGAGAGCATGCCAGCGTTGGTCTCCATGAAGGTCAGGCTCAGGTTCTCTGATGTGTAGAAAATACATATATATATATGTATATATTGTATGTATATATATATATATACATACATATTGTTGTTTTTAAAGGAAAACCGAAGCCATGGGGGTTCGATTCCCATTGCAGGGGTTGGGGTCATTTCAGGGGCGAGGGCAGCAATGAGTGCATCACGGGCCGCAATGGTTCAATGCGTCGAACTTCATCTGTGGTGCCTGCCACCCCATTTTGGGACCAGCACTCGCAACTGCAACCCTGACCGGGGCCACCCGGACGCGGGGATCTAAAAACCATGATTCGACAGGCGAAACAAAATCAAAATCCGAGGAGATGAAGGTTAGTAATGGATGGTCCCATTCATAAATGGGCGCAGCCGCCCATTTACCAGGTCCGGCAGTAGTGCCCTTTTACCCTTTTTTGGGGGAGGGTTCCCCTACTAAAATATACGACAGAAAAAAGGGTACCCTTATTCTAACATCTCTACTGGAGGACCTAGTTTAATTTCTTACATACTTCTGGGTGAACCATTTTAGTAGCAGGTCTTGATTGTGACTCAGGTGGGTTAATTTTTGACCCGGACCTGGACCTTTCCATTTGGCGGCTTCAATTCGGCCAAAATGGGGTCAGCGCATTTCAACGACCTCCACGTGTTTCAGGGTGTGTTCCATAGACAGGTCTGTTTCGACAATGCTTATTTCTTCAAGACCGGGATCTCCAACAATGGTTTAGATTTGTTCCGTAATTATATACCCAGTGCTTCCAGCTACCACTACAGTGTAGGTAACCAGGGTTTCTTGACACCCTTTTTGGCAAACTAGTACATGAGCTCAGAAATCCAGGGGTGAACCGAGTGAATGTTAAGACCCATTAATGTCCCTGGGCGGCCCCTTTTTTTTCGGATTGGGAATAGTAATTTGCCCTTCAGCTCACTCCAAGGGGAGGATGGGCCGGGATATTCACAGCGCCAACTAGCTGTGGCCTTTGACCGCACGGCTTGTAGACCTAAGAATGGCCATTCCCGTAGCTTCAAGTCGCCAGGCGACTAGATGTGCGTGTTCCAAGTCGGTTCTCTCCTTTGCGGAAGCCTCAAAAATGGTTGGTGCCCTGAACAAAGAAATGCTTGACAGCCCAAAAATGGGTCAACCTCCACAACTAGGATCCCTCCAGGATCCTGTCTTCTTTGCCCTCAGATGTGCGGCGCCGACCAGCCCTCAGAAGTCAGAAGGGCACAAGCAACGAGTCAACTGTGACACACTTTTCTCAGTATGGTCGGCTTCCAACACAGGTTTTCCTGGGTTTTCCTTTACATCTCCTTCGAGAAGCATCGACATTGATGCATGTGCATTAGCAGATGCCAACACGACATTGGTCCCCTCTTGGACCTAACGTGGGGCAGTACATTGTGGAACGCGCCAAATTCAAAGTGGGGCCACAAACCGCGACAGACCCACCATCAAATGTGGGAGTATCAAAAGATGGAGAGTCAAAAGACGGAAAGTCGATAGCAGCTTTGATTTGAGAACAATCCAGCGTTGTGCCAAAAGCACTCCAAGAACCCTCCATACCCATGAAGATGCCTTGAGGAATTTCGATTGCGGTCTCCAACACGTGGTTGTCCTTTGAATCGGTGAGTTTGGGTAATAAACAGATGGGTTCCGCCGGTTTAGTTGCCTATTATGCCCCATGTGCAAGGGAATTCCATCTATTTGAGGGCACCCTATGTACCATGGGAATTTGAATGTATTTTATGCCCGATTTAATTGCTGCGTCCCTGAAAACCCGGGGAATCCGAATCTATTTCATGGCAAAGCTTTTTTCATCGAATGGACCCCGCATCTAAGAGGTTTTTGAGTTCCAAGGCGTCGGCTTCTTCGTCTCCTCTTTGCCTTAGCCCCGGACAGAACAGCGAAGCGACCTGGCTGTGGTTGTAAAAAAACGGGTCACCCCAAGGTTGCCCTGGTTCATGGAACCGACCCCTAAAACCTGCGGTGTTTGGGTGGTATCATTTTGCCCCATACCCACCTGGTTTGGGTAAAGCCCTCATTTTCGATGATCACCGGATGTATTTCAGGGGCCGAACTGGGCTGAGCAAAGGATGGGCTTGCCGCTTCAAGCGATGGGTACATTGCATGTCATGGAGACTCCATGGCTTCATGTAGACACAAATACCTGCACATCGATTTGTTGGGACTGCCGACAGAGAAGAGGGTGCTATCAAATGAAACAAGCGTACATCATCCAGAACCCACCGAGTTGCCTGTTTTGTTGCATGTCCACCGTCCAAAAATCAGTGGTTGGCTGGGTGCTGGCTCGTCACTATGTATTCAACAATTTAAGTAGATGCCCTTGGAAGTGCGGGCTTGAGCACGCGGTGTATGGTTTGCCACCGCTGGCAGCCTTTATCTTGCCCAAAGCGAATCACACTGGTCATTGACACGAGCAACAATCACACTGACCATAACAAGCGCACCAGAGCATGCATCTGTCAATTCATCTGAAGATGCCATGTGTTGCAGCCATCATCCCCTGGATGATCAGCTTAAGGAAACCCGTGCTTCTCAACCAAAAGGAAAAGGACCACGCGAGCTGACTGCCGAAAAGGACCACGACTTTGCCTGCGCTCATGCTCACCACTTGGGCCGCCTTCGCCTGCTTTCTGGGCGCCAGGCGAGATAAAAATAAACATAAACAAAGTGCGGGGGGTTGGTCTCAGAATGCAAAAAAAACGTCACAAAACGCGGGTTTTCCTTGGATTGCCTGTCGGCTTCCCGGTGGTTTCCCGGTGGTGTCCCTTGTCCCCTTGGTTTCCCTTTAGTTTCCCTTTAAAGCACAGCCAAACAGGACACCTTCAAAACAAGGACGCACCCTGACTGTGGTTCAGTATGACCCCAGTTGAAAACGGTTGATCCTTCAAGGGGGTGCAATAGACCGGGCTCGTTTTGTGTCGGCTTTCCCGGTTAACGTCACTTTTACGGCATGTCTCAGATATGTACCAGCAGCGCGGCACAGACTTCTGATGAATGGCCTGATGGTTGGGGGGAGCCTTGGAAAAGCCGGGTCGGGGAATATTGTTTTGGGGGAGTGTTTCTGTAGTCCCTCCCCAGCTTCTAGTCGCAATCCGATACTTCAATGTTGCTGGTACACAAACAATCTGCAGTCCGCGAGGGTGACAGACATTTGGCACGTGCCAAGATGGACAATCTCATGGCTCAATGAGATTTGATGTCCAAGACCTGCGGCTCACGGACCGAGAGGGCGATTATTGGGGTCGCTGAAGAAGCAGTCCTTTTGCTGCACCAATCATCTATGCAGCTGTTTCGAAGATGAGGCTGGCAGCAAGCGAATTGGATGTGGTCAAGAGTTGAGAATCCCGCATGGCCCTGTCCATGACCGCGAACAAAGATGGCACTGCTTGACTGCTTGAAGGTGAAGCCTGATAGGAGACTGGAGTCTCACGAGCCATCTTAAGATCTGAGCGCAAGGTCACCTTCTCTTGGTGGCTCCCAGCCATCCGGTTCAACTTAGCCTTCTAGCCTTTTGGTGTAGTGGTAGTTTCCATGTAACCCACTAAAAGTTAAACTTTCAGCGGGGGATCTGAGGGCAGCCCAGTTTTCAGCTACCCTCCCAAAAAAGAAATCATTCTCCTGCAACAGGGGACCCTCGGTTGGGGGTAGATTGCCACGCAAGCTTTGCAGAAGCAATGGATCGAGGACTCATGTAGCCCGCTGTAGCCGCCTCGTTGGGCGCGGATCGCCTTTTACAAAAGAAAGACATGCCATCATGTTCCCAAAAAAAGACCGAAGGGTGTAAGAGACCCCATGGATGGTTGGGACAGTTGGGGTAAGCCATGTTTCCATGCTTGCTTGTTTTAGTCGGTGGTAAGTCCAGGTCGAAGCTTTGCGAGCGTTCTAACCGACTACTGATTATTGTTGCTTGTCAATTGCTTTTATGGACGATCGATTTTCCAGAGATGGATTGGCCTTACTTCCCCTTCTATGAAAGATTTGTCAGAGCTGATCTCTGCCAAGTACTCTAAGGAATTGTTTGCACCATTCTGGATGGTGCTCTTTTTGCAACCGGCAGAAGTCCAGTATAGAAAGTCGAGCTGTTGCTGTCATCATCTATTTGGTTCAAGGGAGTACCCCTGGGATTGACTATGCACCAAATTGCAATCACGGCCAAATATGTTCATGCTGAATGTATGAATCGTGCCTCACATATGTGCGTGCGTGCGTGCGTTTGTGGGTGGGTGGGTGGGTGGGTGGGTGGGTGGGCGGGCGGGCGGGTGGGTGGGTGCGTTGAATATTTCTCCTTTTGGATGGTTGACCATTTGGAGATAAACTCTTTGTGGTGAAGTCAATGTTTGAAAAAAGAGAATGGAAAGACAACTTATGCTGAAAGCTGCAGGGCGAGCGCCTTCAGCGATGAGTGCGATGAGGACTTGGGCTAGGGACTGCGCATCCTTGGACTTTGCTCTTGGGGGAGCCGGTTTTTGGGCTCAGCGGGTCCGAGAAACAAGATTTTATGTCAAAAGATCCGGTTGTCAGAAAGCAGGTTTGCCCTTCGGAAGACTTTAGCAGGGCGCGCCTTGTTTTTGTGGGGAAACTCCCCAAAATGGTGGTACCCTGGAAAAAGGACACACCCACACCCGACAGTTCCTTTTGGAGTTTTTTGTGATCGCCAACCCGCCAACAGCTCGATACATATGTGGCCACATGGGTCAGTGTCAAAATAAACCGTGCGGGGTTCTTGCTGGTTTCTGACTAAAAGGGTCCCGAGCCTTCGAAAAAGATACGCCGAAATTTGCCAGTGAGTCAAGGAGCCAACATGGAACCAGTCAAAGAATAAAACTCGGTGAATCTCAAAAGGCTGAGAACTCCTCCAATACTGTGGATGGTTGCGAAATTCATTTCGCGCCAATTGGACACCATGGTTGAAACCATAACCTTTGTTGGTATCTGTAGGGGGAATCATCAGACACTAAGGTTTCTTAGGTGGTGCGAAATGGATTTCGTCCAACCAAGTATGGGCTTCACCATCCACAGTAGGGCAGCCTCAAGAAACGCATTGGAACATGGGGTCCAAAACAGGCGACCCCCCGAATACGGATCCCTCAGCTTTGTTTTTGCAGAAAGGTGGGTGTTCGTCAACATTTGTCAACGTACCACACACAGACACACCACAGCACAACAAGCTCACCAACAACGATATCATCATGTGAGTGGAAATGTCAAAATGTTGAGTGTGTGAATTGAATTGTTGACAGGACTGGTGTTTAGTACTACATGCTACATTGTGTTTAGATACGATGCATCATCAATTGTACAACATGAATACTTTAAGAAATACTACAAATATGTTTTTTTTTACATGTGCATAACGTTAATAATGTTTGTGTCAGTGGTATTTGTATACCATGAACTATGACACGCAACCGGATTTGCATTTCCCGGATTCTTAGGATGGCTGTGCCTTCTCAGCCTTGCAGCGGAGAGCTGCGCAGCGCGGGGCTAAGATTGGCGGAAGCGGAAGTGGGACCTTTCACCCGGCAAGGGGGGAGGGGAGAGGGAGTTCAAAAAAGAAGGAGAGACACCAGTCCTTGTTGATGCCGGCAGAAATGGAATTTGGTTTGCCTCCTCAGGCCCTTCGGATGCGGGACAATTGGCAAGATGGAAACTCTGAGTCAAAGGCGAAGTGTTGTTTGGTGTTTTTGGTGTGGAGTTTCTGCGTGCAGGCTAATGGCAAACAAGGCAGATGCGCTTTGCGAGCTACTGAGAAGAAAGCATTGAATTTCCCACAACCTGTCAGCTTTTGGAATGCTAAGCTAGAGGCGAGGAGCAAGTTGAACTTCGATTTTCGGCAGTTCGGGCTTGGCCAGCAAGCAATGCCGCGTGTGTGGTCAATCCGAGGCTCTCATCAGACTTGGAGGAAGCCTTGGAGGAGACCAGACTTGGATGTGGTCAGGCAGCTTTGAGGGTCCTCAGTGTCAGGGGCCGGCATTTTTTATGTCTTGGGGAAGCTGTAGGGTCCAAATGAGCAGCGTCCAAAACCTCCGTGTACATGTTTAGTAAGAGTCATGTTATATCGACCAGCGCGTAAGGAAAAACTCCACGCGCGTAAGGTGGCGTAAGCTGGTGGCGTAAGCAACACCTCCAAATGTGTCGCGTAAGCAAAAACTCCACACGCGTAAGCAGAATGATACGACATAGCAAATCATGACACGTTTAGGACATGGCTCAAATGCAAAGCATAGGCATAGGTTTAGGGCAATGGGGGGAGGTTCCGGGATTCCGGTTGAGAGATCCCCCTTGCCATTTGCACACAGTCCATGGGGGCAACATTCAACCTGTTGCCCTCCATGTGGTTTCATTCATTTGTTATTTTCACCGGCACCAATTGCGTTTTTTTTTTTTTTTTTTTTTTTTTTTGTGGGGGGGGGGGGTTTGCCAAGGCCAGGCACGAACCAACCGCCCGCCGAATCGAGCGAAGGAGAAGTCGGTCACTGGGCCGCCGAGCTTTGCGCTCTGTGACGGCAAGAGCTACGACAAGAGTCAGGAGAACTGCTGCGGAGGCGCAGGGTTGCTTCAAAGGCTCCAAACATGTAGCAAATTGGCTTGATCCCTTTTTTGTTTCACTTCAATTGACTTTGGTCTTTCTGGTTTTGGTTGGTTTCACTTATTCGTTGCGACTTGGGTTCGGGTGTGCCCTCAAAAGGGTTTACCCTCAAAATGGTTGGCTTCCTTTTAATTCCCCCCCCCCTTGACTTACCGCAGGCCACTGCCACTACTGGTTTTTTCCTGATCTCCAAGGCCCCCCCCGGCCCTTCAAGCTCCCCCAAAACTGATATTTTTTGGAGGACCGGCCAATTGAACTGGAAACAGAAACCTGGAGAACCTCTTCGGTCCTTGCCTTGGCCCCTTTTGGGCAATAGGACTTCAATTGGCAACAGCAGTGTTGTTGTTTTGACCTTGTCGTTTTACACAATCCTTAGTAAGAAACCTGCATTTTGGGGAACGCAGCTTTTAGGAGCACTTGAGGGTTTAAAAGTAGTTTGGTGAGTTTAAGCGCAGACGAAGCAAACACTTAGCAACAAGGAACGCCTCTTTTCTGGCAGGATTTTTGTCTTGGGCACCCCAGGCGGCTACCTTAAATCAGGTGGAGTTCCGGGGCCCGAAAATGATTGGGTCGTGTTTTTGTTGGCAAGCCCTTGGCCCTCTACTTTCGTATTGCTGGGAATCTGGGCGGCAAAAGGGGACACCTTTACTTGGGGGGTTTACTAATCGTGTAGTGACATTAGGTAGAGCTGGGAAAATGGTCCCAACCGCGTGAATCAAAAACCACTCGTACTTGTTGCATGGCTGCATGGAGTCCTTGTGTACCAGAAACCATTTTTAGACCTCGAACTTGTTGGACAAATCATGGTTGTTGTTGGGAAACATTTCTTACATTTTTGCAAAGTGTGGTTTAGTGGTGGGAATCCAACCACTTAATTGCTAACATTTAATTTGTTGCTCCCCTTCCAACGTCAACCAATAAATGTGTTGGTTGACTTTCTGAAAGTGGCTTGCCGCATAGGTGTGGAACGCGGGTGGAGGTCAACCAAGGCTCCGGCCAAAACGGGCTGGTTACCAGGTTCGGAGTCGGGCTGAGGCAGCCTCTACTCGCTGACCTCCCAGGGCTGCTGTGGAAACAAAAGCGTCTACACTTTTGCGCAGCAAGGCCCGCCCCGCGGGGTGGGGCTGGTTGGACGGAGCAGTGAGATCCAAAAAGGGGATTTTTTTGGAAGCGGACCCCTTCAAAATGATTGTGCAAAAATGGGAGTACCAACTCCAACAAGTTCAGACCCACATGAGGTTTGTTGCAACCCCCTAGTCTGGTGTAATCAATTTGGGATGTTCCAACCCAAACCTTCTGCGACCTCAAGCGGGGGTTCTATAGTACGTGTAACATGAATATGTAATAACGTATTAATATGAACATGTATACATATATGTGTATAATATGCGCACATGTATGTTTTATGCGTGTGTTATATGTATCATACATGCATATGTATATGTACATGTATACACACATACACATATACATGCGTCACCACAGTTGACGATCGGGGACCAAACCTGAAACAAACCACTGTTTGAAACTGCGGGAAACTAGTGATGTTGGTATTTACACGAGGAATCATCAGAAGCCAGGATTTCTCAGGTTGTGCGAAATGGATTTTGCAACCATCCACGGTATGTCTTCTGTGTGTGTCTTGCTTCAATCTGTACGGTGGACTTCACTTGCTGGTTGGGATAAGCAGGGAATGGAAATGGAATGACCCCAAGAAACCATCCCTTGTGGTTCCTTTTTAGGTGAATCCCCGGAGTCGGTTCATTCCCAACACCCGGACTCGTTGTCATTCTTTATCTAGTTCTCGCGGAAAGCGAACCTCAGAGCTCCCGGTGGAGCTTTGGTCCCTTTGGCTCGCCCTCTTCGAATGAATCGACGGGGGGGGAAAAGTTCCCAAGGCGAAGCCTACTGTGGATGGACAAAGTCATGCACCAGCTGGAAAACATGGGAAACCATTATTCGTTTGGTATTTATATGATATATATATATATATATGGGAGTCTTCCCTCTAGGGCCTCTTAGTTGGTGCAGGATGTCGTCCGTGAAACAAACCACCCACCCCCGATGCTACCTACCCCCCGGACGGGATCATCGATTTCTGGGGCTGGTGTTTTGAGACGTACATGACGTCATGTATGCATGTTCACCCGCAGCCTTTGCAGTATGTTGTATGCATTGGTGGAATACGCTGGTCTGTACATGTAGATGGGTTGTTCAATGTTCTATCCTCAATCCTTATGCCCAGAGTCTAGTGTCCTAGCACGGTCTTGCGGATTAGGATTAGGGTTCATTTGCATACAGTTGCTGCATACATATCTACATTCAGCAGTCATGTCTAGGAATACTAAAGAAAGAAACAAGGACATGTCGGCAATCATATTCACAGACATGTGTATGTAATTGCGCATGCGCACGTTGCCCCGCGCGTGCTCATGAAGTGGTGCCATATTTAAACAGAGCAAGTGCAGTTTGTCATGTGAAGGCTTTGCTTAGCGCTGGACCCTGCCGTGAAATGGATTCACGAGTCAACGAGTGCGATCCTTATGAGAGCAAATCCCTGCATCCCGCCACTCCCCAGGTGTTCCAGCAAGTCTTAGAAAAAATGTACATTATGCATGACATTTTTATGCTAAGAGACACGCCGCCTCACTTCCCCTCCCCACTTCTCAGCTCAAACCCACCTCCCAGCACTCGCTTTCGCACAAAGCGGGAGGGAAGGAGAGGATGAGGCCAACAGTGACAATCGGTGTCAATCGCCCACTGTCCGTATTGGTGTCCTTTTTTAGTTTAGTTTGTTGGAACAAAGATGAATTCTGTTATCATTTACCAGTGCCATCTGTTTTTTTTTTCCAAAGGGACACCTATGCCACTGCCCAAGCTTGAAGCACATATCATACACACCACACGTTGATGCTTGAACTGAAATGCCGGTCAGATGCTCCAATTCTGGAAGCTTGTCCCAACGGCAAGCGTATTGAGCATGTCTCGTGCTAGGCTGCTGCAACGATGATCACGTATTTACCTATGGCGTTGAGAGACTTGGCAGGGGGCACGGGGATGAAGGCTGAAGCTCCGCAGGTGAGGGTAGACCCTATCGGCAGACCATTTGAGAACAAGCAGTGCGGACTTTTGGCGGGCAAGTAGACAATTCGGGGCTCGGGCAAACTCGGTTTTAGCGCGTGCGGGCTGAGTTGCCATCCTGCGCCTGCGGGAGCCTGTTGTTATTTTTTGTGATTCCATGTTTCCAGCCCCAAGTGCTTTGGATTGGTTTGGGGATTCGAACCCCAGTTCCTTTGCCGCATGGGGGAGGTGGCCCCGGTCCACACTACTAAACCAACTCGGGGGAAGATGATGGTGCAGTGGAGGCCTCGAATGCCTTGACAGCAGAGAAGTAGAGCCTGGTGATAGCGTGTAGGGGCAAGGATACCTGGATTCTCCGAGGTGTGCTGTTTTATGCTCTTTCGAGAAAAAAATGCTTTTTGGCTGAAATTTTGCACACCCGGAGGGCCCAGGTATGAATTTGGGACCACTTTGGGTTGAGGTTCGTTTTGTTTGTCCCGTTTCGCGCCATTGGACGGCACTGCATCGCTTGTATCAGATGTGAAAGGAAGCTTCGAAGCTTTAGCTCTGAGTCATTCAAGGCACACATCCAGAAAAGGAGGACATGCTGTTTAGTCCTGTTTTTGGCACAGGCTGTCATGCCTCCCACTTCATAGGTGTACTCCCACCAAGCGGGACCCGCTTTCGCTTTGCTCCCCCCCCCCCCCCCCGCCCGGCTCCGTATCCTAGAGGGTTCCTCTGCATGCCCCTCGCCCGCACAGCCCTAGCCAGTTTGAGTTCATTCGTTGGTCGAGTAGAGTGTTTTTGTTGTTGTGTTTTTTTCTTGGGGTAACATTTCAAAGACAAAAACTAGTTTTCATTTTTCTTGGTAGCATTTTCAGGGTTTTTTCTTGCAAGATAGGGGGAACTCCCCTTGACCCTTTTTTTGGTGTTGGCATTGTCAGCCCATGGGCATGGATGTTTTTTGTCCGGAGAGTTAACCCCCGTGTCTTGCTGCGATAAGGGAATGGCCGTTCTGTGTTTTTGGAATAAACCAGAAGGTGCTTCCCTTACAGGAAGCCACCAGTTGGACTATTTAAAGGGGTCATTCCCTCATTCCCTACAAGTTGTTGACTCTTGGCTTAGCTCAGGACCTGTGTGCCCACAAAGCCGGGGGTCACTCCCGACACCAGCTTCTCCTGCGCCGCAGACTGGCCACCACCCACCTACAGCCTGCCTCCCAGACTCCCAGACCGCTGGCAGGGATGAACATGGAAACTGGCAGGGGGTCCCTTTACAAGATCAATGGTCTTTCAGATCCCCCTGTCAGGTTCTATGTTGGTTGGTGGGAGGGTAACACAGGATTTGTGGTTTGCATGGGTGGTTTGGATTTGGATTTGAACGCTGGGCCTCGTAGAGGGTAAATGGGAAGCCACCTTAGCGGGAAGCTGAAAGATCCCAATGCCGAAAAGTATACCCTCCCCAACAAGTACGGGTTCCCTTCGCAGTTTGCCTACCTCATTACACCTCGAATTCTGGTCCCTTTATATCAAAGCTTGGCCTGCATTTTTGTGCTTTGGTGGAGGGAAGGGCCCCCAGAAAAGTCGTATCGGTGGTATGGAACCCAAACTGATCCCAACAAGGTGGCAAGCAAAAGCAATCTGCCTTAAGGCGACTGGTTGGCTCTTGGGAACTATTTGGGCAACAACTCAATGAGCAGATGAGCAAATGGGCGGTTCCCTAGCAGTTGATGAGTATTGGGGGCCAATTGGCAGAGAACACGTTGAGAGGGTAGGAAGCCACGCAGGGTAAGACTCTAACCCTTCCCTGGTGTTCAGTTGTCACCATTAAGACAATGAGGCGGTTTAATACAACCATTATTGACCGTTCAGTTTTTTCATCATCCAAATTGGGTCATCCATTCGTTGGATAGGAATCGGTTGAACCCCAGCGCGTTTCAACTCGTTGCCAGAATTTCGCAACAACATGTTTACAAAGCTTTGGCGTTTCCTTGCAGAAAGTCCGAGAGTCGAGAGATGAATCAACTCGCAGTTGTCCTGGTATGTGGTGAGCTCACTTTCAACGACACCGGCTGGTTCCCAAGTTTACCGCGCTATAGCAAGGCTTATCGGCACCTTTGCAATTGTTGTTCTTTCAAGCGCAACCAAAGTACCATCATATTGAGTGTCCGATTCCCAAAACAAAAGAGGATTGCTGGCCCTGGTCTCATGAAGCCAACTTTGTGGGTTGGTTCCGTCGATATACCAACCTCAAGAAGACAACCTCAAAGCCTCAGAGCCTCACACTATCTCCGTGTGAAACTCGTCATAGGGAAAGTCCCTGAAGGTTGTTTTGACCACTCCAGCAAATGCGTTGTTGGTTTGCCTTTGCCACCAAAACACAGGCACCCACTCCAAAGAAGACGCCCCCTTGTGTCCGATGTTTAATAGCTTGAGCCGCAAGTCGGGCTAGTCGACTCAGGCGCCTACTGGCTCCGCTACTGCGCAGCGGGCTTTGGTCTCAGTGTACCCTTTCCCGTCCAAGTTGTTTTTTGGAGCTCGTACCCTTTTTGTGGTGGGTTTTCAAGGACAACCACAAGGGTCCCATCAAATTGGCGGGGCTCTACTGAAGAAACCGCAAATGACATAGTTCCCGTATTTGCCAAAGTTCAACTGGGCAATACAAAACCCTTTGAGCTAAACGAATGCCCGGGTTCGGAGCCCACTCGACAGGTATCCGCATTTCGTTGTGTGGTTGTGATTGGAATGCTCTCATGCTGCCAATCCCAATGTAAATGATGTCCAATGGTCCGAATTAGACTTCATACCAAAGGAAGCCGACAACAAACTGTTCACTCGCCCTGAAACTGAGACATAAATCTTTGTCCCAAGCAACTGTCAATAGACTTGGTAGTGGCTTTCGCAGATGTTGCACATAAATAGATTTACATATACATATTAATATAACATATATATATATATGTATAGGTACATACATACATACATACATACATACATACATACATACATACATACATACATATATATATATATATTTAGATACACACATACATACATATATATATATATATGTATGCACATACACATTCTACCCCCCCCCTTCCCCGGCCCATTTTTAAACATATACATTTTACAAGGATACCTTTGCCAGATGGAAACATACCCCTAGTATTCTTCCAGTATTCCCTAGTATTCTCCCCGATGTTCTCCTGGAGATCCTTCAGTCAGTATTCTCTCGGTAGTCTCTTACCATTCCCTGAGAACTCTTCATTAGTTTTTCATATTCCCCTAGCATTCCCTTATTCCCTGAGTATTCTCTGACCCCTAGTGTTCTCTCAGCACTCCCGAAATATTCCCTTATTATTCCCCAAATATGTCCATAGTATTTTCCTTATTCACCCTTAATACTTCCCTAGTCAAAGGAATTCTAGTAAGAAAACGTCCGTAATGCCGAAAAGTGGAGTTACGCACCTGCGAAACAAGCGAGGGGTAGCTGTGTTTTGCGCAGGTCTCACGTCTCAGTTTCTAGCGTCCGGTCTCTAAGACATCTTGCCAGCAGAACCCGAAGAGCAGGGAGCTCCGACCGAATTCGCAGGGGTCGGCGGGAGGGAAAAAACAACGTTTAAGAAGCAAGCCAATATGAGATAAACCCGGCTGCCGGCTGCCAGGGATTCTAGCCAGATGCTGCACTTTGTAACCTGGTCCGTTGGGGACAGTGGGCTTTGCCAAACGAAGCCTGGCGGTCGCACCTCGTATCTTGGCCCCTTTTTGGGGCTTGCCCGGCCGGGGAGCTCGTCACGAAGACCCGAAGACCCGAGCGGCACAGAAAAATGACTCGAGGACCCGAAAAAACAGAAAGAGAAACGAGCGCAGGAAGCCCCGAAAGCCTACTGCGTGACCGAGGGCGCGCGGTCGTGGTTCATGTTTTGGGTGTTCAACACGCGGTTCGTCCGAACCTTTCAGAGACCGAATCGTGTCCCTCAAAGGAGTAGTTTCTTTGGGGTTTCGCGTTGTTTGTTCTTGTTCAAAGGATTTTCTGAAAATATGCGCGATATTTTCCAAACTACCTGATTGTAGCGCTTTTGGAGCGCAAGGTCCAGAGCGGGTCCGTTCATATGAAAACTACGCAGAAGCATGCAATTGATACGTTATTCGTAATATAACAAAAATATACTGAAGAGTTAAATTTGCATATTCATTAGGTTTTGCCATTGCTGTAAAGTATTACGCGTGTGGTGTAAAGCGTATTAGTCATAAAGTAGTATGATAACATAAACAATATCTTCTCCTTTTTTGCTTGAATGGGGTCCCATTCTTGGAGGAAGTCCGATTTTGCGACTGCGAACTGGAACGACCCTTGCTCGGCGAAGGGCGCTCCCACTAGCGCGCTGCATGGGCTGCGTGGGGACCCGGGTGGATGACCAACGTCACCCGAAGCCATGGGTTTTGCTCAGGGCAGGGAAATGAAATCCCACCGACGGCGTGGGCTCAATCTTCACTGATACCATCGGTGAAGATCAGCGTCGCAGGAGCCTGACACGAGCGGCCAGATCAAGGCGCCTGCTCGCTGCAGCAGCCGCACGCGTGGGCCGCAGCGCGAGAGCGCTGACAGACGTCAGCGAAAACAGGGGCAAGCCGCTTCGCCCTCAGCCCACAGTGCTTCAAGGAAGGTTCGCAACCAACGTAGTGATAAGACCTGTGGCCATTGACAATCACCAAAGCCCTTGATCAAGACCTGGGGCCATTGACAATCAAATAAACACATCAACGTCTCTGTTGCGCGTGATGCCCTACAGCCTCTCTCGCCCAATCGTTCATGTCCGTTTCTCTTGTTGGCCTTCTTACGAGTGTTAGTGACACAGAGCCGGCGGAGCCGATTGTCGGAAGTTTCTAGGGATATACAGGTTATAGGTCTCTGTCTTTTTTTCTTGAAGTTTCTCTTTCTCTTTCTCTCCCTCTCTTTTCTTTCTCTTTTCTTATCTTTATATTTATCGCTTCTTTTTCTTTCTCTTTCCCTTTCTCTTTTTCTTTTTCTTTCTCTTTCTTCGCTCTTGCTCTTTCTCTTTCTCTTTCTCAATCTTTTCTCTTTTCTTTCTCTTTTCTTTCTCTTTGCTGTTCTCTTTCTCTTGTATTTGTTTCTCTTTCTTTTCTCTGTCTCTTTTCCTTTGTCTTTATCTTTCTCTTTTCTTTTTCTTTCTGCGGATCTTTTTCTTTGTCTTTCCTTTTCTCTTTGTCTTTCTCTTTCTCTTTTTTCTTTCTCTTTCTAACCTTTTCTCTGTTCATTCTTTTTTCTTTGTCTTTTCTCTCATTTCTCTTGTTTTTCTCTTTTCTTTCTCTGTTTCTTTCCTCTTTGTCTCTCGCTCTCTCTCTCTCTCTCTCTCTCTCCCTTTCTCTCTCTCTCTCTTCCTTTTTTTTCTTTCTCTACCACTGCCACGAAATCAGTGCCTGACCTTGCCAAAGTGCTGCGCCCGCCACGGAATCTGCACCTGACCTTGCCACAGTGCTGCGCCCGCCACGAAAATCTGCACCTGACCTTGCCGAAGAACTGCGCCTGCCGCGAAATCTGCACCTGATCTTGCAAAAGTGCTGCGCTTGCCACGCAATCCAAACCTTGCGAAACCTTCGCGTTGCCATTGCAGTGGGCCGGGCGCCGAACCCGCCGGACAGGCGTCGAGGCAGAGGTGGTTGCCACGCAGAAGGTCACTCTTTTTCTCGATTTCTATTCCTCCCGCCACACGCCCACACACGTTTTCTCGCATGCGTCCATTCTTTCTTCATCTTCTCTGCGTGCAAACTCTCTGCATATGTGTTCTTTTCACATGCGCTGTCTGATCTTCTAAAGCTATGTGCAAGAGCTATCTTTTCGCATGCGCTTTAATGCTGGCACTTGATTAATAAAGGCCCCCCCCCCCTCAACAATTTGGAGGCGCTGGAAAAAGTGGAATGCTTTTAAGCAAGTGGGCGACCAATTGGAAGGGGAGTGCTTTTAATTGATTTGTGGATACTTTTTTTTGGATATTTCCTTCCGGGCAAAAAACTTTCAGTTATTCTGGTCCCCATCAACAATGGTGGCAAACCAGAATAGGGAAAGCAACTTTGAGTTACTGTACGACCCCTGATTAATCGGGTGTTAACCTTATGGTCTTCTTGATTCTATCTATCTACGCAGGCTACCTGTCAATTAGTTTCTGTACCACGGAAGTTCCTTCTAAACTCCCTTTGAGTACTATATTTAGTAAGTACATCCGATGCGTACCGTAATATTCGAACGTATTTAACCACAGTACGTTCTCAATGTATGTATATGTAAGAATATTCATAATTTGCTTGACCAATACCAGGACAAAACAAAAACCAACGAGTCCCCCCACCAATACCAGCACCAATACCCTAACAAATGCCAACCAAACGAGGATTTAATGTAGAACAAGCACTAAAGTTTACCATTTTCTAATTTGTCTTCATTTGCAGCAAGGTTTCAATTCCTACCGAAATTAAAGCACAATAATATTCCCCCATTCGAGGTATTCAGACTATGTCCTTATGAACATTTATACTATTTGCGCAAGCCAAAAATTTCGTAATCATGTTCACCACTCAGAATGTGATTTCATAATCATATCTATTCAATTTGTTTAATTCGATAATTACGTAAGTGCTTTGTTCAACTTTTACTCTTTAATGTGCTTATGTTTGCGTTCTACACATACAGAAATAGTTGCATATATACATATACATACATCTACACATACATTTGTGGCCTGAGCGCTTACATTTGCGTTGTACGCATAAACAAAAATACACATATATATATATATATTTATATATATATATGTGTGTGGCCTGAGGCGCCTGATCCAAGATCCAAGGCCAAGATTCCACTCAGGACTCTCTTGTGCAATCTGGATCTTGAATCCAGGCCTAAGGCGCCTGAGGGCGGAGGTCGCGTCAGATTTTGAGATGTTGGTTAGGTGGTTACGCGGAAGAAGGTAGACTTTTTTTGGCGGGGGGGCTGGGTCGCATATATCCAATTTTTGTATCTCTCTCTCTCGCTCTCTCTCTCTCTCTCTCTCTCTCTCTCTCTCTCTCTCTCTCTCCATCTATGTATAGGCATAAATGCGCATTCCAGGCTCTATGCTTTCGAAGGGTTGGCTGAGGATTGGCTTTGGGTTGATTACCGGTGGAGTGGCTGAGCTTGGAGTTAGCTGAAGGGGGTAGGCTCGGCTTAAGGCTGTGCCGGAGTTTTGGGGATGCCCGGTGCTAGTGGTCTAGCGAATTGGGGACCCGGCGCACAAACACACACACACACACATTTGCCTGGTATATATATATATACATATATCTATCCATGTATATGTATGCATATGTGTTTATAAGCATCTACCTAGAGCCTGCATGGCCCCTAGCAGATAGCGTCGTTACCTCAAGGTGCATTGCCCCATTTGTGAAGCATCCATTGTTCCATGTGAAAAGCATCATGGAGACTACAGGTATATCTAGGCCTCCTGCTCAGGTATGCACATGGCTTGGGCCATGACACCCTCCTGCGATGTGGGCTGGCTCTCGGTGAAGCAGCAACCCGGCGGCCAAAAGGCGCTCCATTTGGATGGCCGGAAGCTTTCGGTTCCTTGCCCAGGCTCCGGAGTTCGGAGCAGCGGGCTTCCGGAAGTCAACTGGGGTTGCTTTTGGAGTTCTTTCCTGTTTTGACACAAGCCCGATTGAGTCACAATCAAAACCCGGGCAAGGGAGGGTCAATACGGGAGAGAATTGGGTGCGGCCGCTTTTCTAGTTCTTTACGCTGGTTTGGGGCCGGGGAGACAACTTTAATCCCCGCGTTTTGATTGTGCCTCAATTAAACGCGCGGATTGATTTGGGGACTTGAACCCCTACCCTCGCCATCGACTCGACTCGTCACGGTGCGGTCATGGAAGCCGCGGAAGAGACCAAGGAACAGCCTGGAAGATGCGGAGAAGAAAGCTTTGGAGGCCTGCCAGAAGAAGGCTAGGTCGTTCGTTCGGCTCTTGGCACCTTTTTTCCAGAGGGTCTCTTTCACTCGAACCCATATTGACCCTCCTTACACGGTACTTGAACCCTTAGGACGCCTCAAAGCCCGGACGTGTTGACCTCTGAATGACCCTTGTGGACAAGTCTTTCGGGGTGTTCTCCCAGAAAAACGAAGGATCCCCTTTTGAATCCGCGACACCTTTGAAGCAAACAGGGGCTGACTCTTGGGTCAAGGTTCGGGATCGGATTGGCAAACACCAAGCGTATGTTTCCAAAACCGGGGACGTGTTGGGTGGCTTTGAAAAGGGGAAATTGATATCGATCACCTCATTGTTTTCGGGTGCCGGAGCACAGAAAGGGCAAGGCCTGATGTGCTTCTTGAATCTCTGCACCTGGTTTGTAACAGGTCGATGTGCAGCAAGGTAGGGAGGAGGGTGTACATGATTTCATGTCAGGGGTTGGTGTGTCAATTTGTTTCCTGGACTATTGGAAGAAGTTTTCAGTGACTGCCTCCGTGAAATGCGTTATCATCAATTCCTTGGATTGCCTTTCCGTGTCGAGCCGCGATTTTTGCGGTGCTTGAATGAATCACTCCCCAAAGCCGTTCTTTCACCTTTTGGTTTTAGAGCTTTACTTTTCATGCGGCTGATCTTTTGGTGAGGGTAGCCTTCGAGCGCGAACTGGAAACCTAAGGGAAACCCATTTGGCCATTTGGGTCAAAAGACACCTAGCTTGTAAAAGCTCAAGTCCGCAGCCTGGAATTCTCACGCAGTTCCGATGCCCTCGCTGATAGATTCGCCTAGCCGTTTTGAAGTGAGCGTCCGTTGGTACCCCACCCTACCCCGGGGTGATTGTTAAACCCTGGGGACAGGCAGGCCGCCATTAAAGCAATGGTTGGCTTCAAATAAGCACCACATTTTACCGCTAAGGAGTTTCATCTTCCAAATTGGGTCCCAAGGCCATTCTTTTGAAGGAGGGTTGAACCCCAGGGCAAAGGGAACATTCTAGGATTACCTTCCCCATTCTTTCCAAGAATGCTTCTTTCTAGAAATCCTTTGAAACCCATGGAACATGGTTGGTTTTTGAAAAGAACGAGGGGTTGAAAAGAATGGAAAAGGAATGAACCCCCAGAAACATGGGGCATCCAAATTGGGTCCCAAGGCCATTCTTTTCAGTGGGGGTTGATTCCCCAAAAAAGCACGGGGAAGGGGAACAGCTGGAACACGGGGCATAGGCTACCGCCTACAACGGGGAGACCTGCCACGTCTTCGACCGCGACGGCGGCGCCTGCCGGCGCCAGCGTTGCGGAGACAAGATCTACGACGCCTCCACGAGGCTTTGCCGCAGAGTGGATAGAAACTGCCCAGAGGGTTGTGGGGCATTCAATGGAAGACCCGACCCCTCCATTAGACACCCCGGAGGTGTTTGGGGGTCGGAACACCTGGCTGTTTGAGGGCCCTAAACACATTGGGAGCCTCTGGGTGGGTGAATTATAAGGACCTCACACGACCGAATTCACCCCAAATGGTGGGGAATAGCCCCCAAACCACGCTATTTCCATCTCAGTTCTCACAATTATTCTTATCAAAAAGAAAGGGTTTTGGGGTTTGGGGGATTTTGGGGTTTGGGGTTTCGATCTCAGTTCTCATAGCTATTCTTCTCAAGAGAAGGAGCTTGGGGCTTTGGTGCTTTGGGGCCTTGGTGCTTTGGTGCTTTGGTGCTTGGGTGTACATGACGCTATTTCCATCTCTCTCACACCCTCAGGGTCATGACCCCTCCAATGCACACAATCGAGAGAATCTTAGGGCAATTATTCTTATGAAGAAGAGGGTGTTTTGGGATTTGGCGGGTTTGTGTTTGGCTTTGGTTGGCTTTGGGGCTTGGCTGTATACGACGCCATTGCTTTTGATGGGGAGCCGCCTCAAAAGTGGCTGGACATGACTCCCCACTCTTCATGATGTCCACCAGCGGGTCCCGAATCAGAAACATAATGCCCATGGGTCTGGTTGGCTTTCCCCTTAGTTTTCTTCTGGGAAACCATCCGAGTCGGTCCGTGGCGAACCTGTGCCTGGGACCTCCAGGGCCTTCTCACAACGTGGGGTTCATGACCTTTGCTCTGGCCAAGGTGGAGTCCCAATTGAAATTAGGCATTTTTAGTTGTTTCTTGTGTTGTGCACATGTTGTTCACCATGTCTTGCGTGTATGATTTGTGGGGCTTAAACCCTTTTGCACCGGGTTTTTCAATTCAACGGGGAACAAAAGTCAGCACCTGAAGTGGTATCTCTTGAGACGCGCCCATTGCGCTGGCCCGAGGCAAGCCTGCTGTCAAGGGCGCATTCATGATCGCGTGACTCAGGCGCGGCATGCAAAGGGCTTCGATTCTCCTTTTACCCGCCGAACCGACCCAGAGCCTGACATCTGATTGCCTGATATCTGATTTTGTAAGGAACAGCTGAACAGCTGTGCTCGCTTGCGCAAGTTGCTTGGCCCTTCTTCGCAGTCGGAATTCAAGCGAAACCTTTGGGACTTGAGAAGATTGCTTCGTGAAAGTCAGGTGTTCCAGTCCCAGTTCAGTGCCATGAGCTAAGTTCCTTTTTGCTTGGCTCCCCACTTCAAAGAGTCGAAACCCCCAAAACTTGGTGGGTCCCAGCCATCCCAGCAAGGGATCTGGCAACAGCCCAGAAAAAGGGTTGTTTCTTCCGGCACTGGGAAAGGCTTTCCACAAACCACGAGTCGGATTTCTTGAAAACTCGAGATCGACCCTTTAAACTGGATTGAGTTCGACTGTCTTAACCAAAAAAAACACCCCAGAAAGGAAGACCACCCCCACCACGCGGATTCTGACATTGGGTTGTCCTTTAAACCACTCCCACACGAGTTGTTTTGCCTCTAACAAGCACGCCCATTGCTCGATCAGACCTTGCGACCCTTCCCACTCGAGAACGCAAAGAGCCTTTCCGCCCGACCTGCGCTCCGTGAATTTTCGCGCTCCGTGAAATGAACCGCCTCTACGTTGGTTCTGTGCAACAGTCAAATGACCTGTCCATTCTTTGCTTTCTTTCGTAAAATCCAAATGGCTCATAAAATCCAAATGGCATGCTTGTGGTGTGCTGCGCAAGCAATGGTTCTCTTCAGCATTGTAGGCAGCCATCCTTAGAGTTCTGACTGTGGTATTTGTTGCAGGAGACCCCATGTTTTCTTTGGACGAGAATCCATGAGGCACACCGAAGACTGTTTCGGGAGGTTCCATGCCCCATAAGGCAAGCTGCTCAAGTTTCCCCCGAGGGCTGCTGCAACGGCGCGCTCTTCAAAACGCAGACTGAGGGCTGCTGCCAGGGCGAGATCTACATCAAGGCCAGGGATCCGGGTTTCAGTTGGATCATCTGAACAATCCTGACCATGATGTCAAACTGGCCAACAACAGGAGCACCAACATGCAGACCGTGATAACATCATAACTCATAACCTGTGTTCGCAGCAGCGCAGCAGCGCAGCAGGCACAGTATGAGGCCAGGCAATGTGTTGTCACGTCTCGTTTTTTTTTTTTTTTTTTATCGCCGTTTAGAACGCTGCCGATGCCAGGAGCTTCGAGCTCGAACCGGTTTGAGTCTGGCTGTTGCCTCACTTTTCGTAGCTCGTTATTGGTCGAAAGAAGTGTGCCGAATGCGCGGATCCACAGGTCGACCAAAACAAAGAGGTGCTCGACTGTTTGTTACCAGGAGTCACGGGATCAAATACTGGAGACCGAACGAAAGTTTGTGAGGACTAGCAGGTCTGCGTCTGGGTAGGACAGGTTGCTTCACAAGACTTTATCGGGGAGTGAAAAGAGCGCGATGTCGTAAGGGGTCTGGCTCGCATTTGGGGTCGTTCTTTAGGTTGGACACCCAAAAATGCCGAAAATGCTTGGTGTCCTTTAGGTTTCGGCAGTGAGACGACCAGCTAGGGCCCCTTGCCCCGATTGATTCAGAGAGGCGGCACCCTAGCATTGAGTGCGGATGAATTCGGATTAGGGATTCATGTCCACTAGGTCCCCCAGTGGCCTTCTGTTCCCTTTTCTTGGGAGGGGTCCCCTATTAAGATAGACTACAGAAGAAAAAAGCAAAACAACGGGAACCCTTATATATTCCAAGCATATGCCAACCTCTGTACTGCCGCGCCTCGCAGGCCCAGCAGAGCTGCTGCGGGGGGCAGACTTTGTTCGACAGCAACACCCATGGCTGCTGCCTGGAGCGCGGAGCCCAGGCGGGCAAGCGACTCACTGCCTCGGCCGACTGGGCCAACTGGGCCCGTGGGAAATGGGGAAATGGGGGGCCTTGCGGAGCTGGACAGCCATAGCTTCGATTGAACCAAAGGATGAACCCAGAAATGATGGGTTTAACCCGGTTCCCTATGTTTGGGTGTTTTCCCAGGACTTTGAGTGGATCTACCAAAGATGTTCCAGTCTTGGGTCTCATTTGTTGACGTGCGTTCACTTCAGGATGCTTAAGATATGAATTTGTTGGGACTTGTTCAAGCCCTATGGTGCTACAGCAGAGAGTCGCTGGACCCAACCCAAGCTAACAACAGCCTGTTTAAAAGGCCTCGTTACAGAACTGCTATGTGCTGCCTGAAGCAGAAGCCGTTTCGTCAACCCATCACCGGAGTCTGATTTTTCGGGAGCAACTGATTTGGTGTGATGCGCAGTGAGAGGCAAAAGTCATCCCAAAGGAAAGGGTTGGGCAGGGACAGCAGGCTTTAGTCTACTTTTTCTGCATTTACCGATCGGGCCTATCGCGTTTCATGTTGGACCGATTCCTAGTTTGAGCCACATGTATGACAAGTATTGACACGGGAAGTTGACTGGGGCACCAAAGTCCCACAACCCCTTAAACCGCGCATCAAGAGCGGCAATATTTCAGTTTACCTTTTGGAGGGCTCGGGCGCCCGATGGAATTGAATGAAAGATATCCTAAGGGGACCTCCTTTTAGCACGAGCAGTTCCACAAGGGACCCTGAAGTAAGTTTGTTCCTTGGTAGTTGCCCTTCTAACTTCCTGAGTTTCCTTTGGGACTTTATGTTTTTTTTTTTTTTTTTTTTTTTTTTTTTTACCATTTTAGTGGTAAACAAACAGTTTGGATTCCATCCACTAAGGAAGTGAGTCTAACATCGGTCCCAAAGGAAGCCAAATAACACGCAGGCTCGTCTGTAAGGATTTGGACATCAGAAAGAAGCGATTTCCCATATCTCCGATTTCCCAATTGTTTACTCACTCTCTGAGTTCCTGGACTTTACATTTTTTGACAAAACCACGTTAGTGGTAAACAAACAGTTTCACATTTTTTTTGCCCAGTCCACTTAAGTGGGATGAGGCTGGCCTAAAAAGAAAAGCAAGGGGCAACAAAAACCTGAGGGGTTCCATGGGGTTCCCCCACAGTGAGTTGGGGTGTTCGGTTTCTTCCATTTACTTTGTCTAAGTTTAAGGTCTATGTGAGGTAGGTTTTGAAGTGTTCCAGAGGGTTCTTGACGGAGAGTTGCGGCGACATTTTAGACGATGACGGGTTAGGGCGACGGGTAGGGTGACGAGGGAGTGCGACAACGACGGCCAGTGTGACGGACAATGTTGACAATGACGAAGGGCTCGACGGGCAAGGGCGACGATGACGGATGGGGCGACGGACGGCTTTGACGAAGATCAGCGGGGCACGGATAGGACGACGGACAGATTTGATGATGGTTGAGCCAGACAAGACAGCAGCCAGGCGGCCAGATTGACGTGTTTGCCAGCCCATCCATGGCTCTCATCATGGCATCAATCTGCTGCGCCTCCTCTTGCTCGCTGTCAGTCAGGTTTTCGACAGCCACAATCGGGACCAAAAAGCATGGCGGCCGCGACCGTCGCGGCAAAGCGGACAAGGGGTCGAGCCGACAACGCGAAATGAATTGCAGTTTCAATCGGCCACTGGTCATAGCTGATCGACTTTGACAAACTCGTGAACAACTAGATGGAGACATGTAGACATGTCAAAGTCAGAGGTTGAAATTGCGAAATGAAGCTGACCGGCTTGTGAATGCCAAGCCACATGTTGCCATTTAAATGCCCCATCTTCGCTTCTGAAAACTTCTGAAAGTTCTCTTCCTTTGGCGTGATGGCCTGCAGCCTCAACAGCTGCCTGCCTGCAATCAACGGCACAAACAAGTCCAGCATGACGGCCAAATTCCACGACTTGACATGACGTGCTGACATTGGGACATACGGACTTGCGCGTCATGCGATTCCCCCATTCTACGATTGAGGCGCGAAGATCTGAATGGCAATTTTGAACACAACCGCAGCCCAGCAACCGTGAGCCGGACCACGCCGTCAATGGTCGACGAAGATCTGGTCTTCGGCTGGCAGGGCGCTTCATTGTGTTAGTCTCACTCTGGTTCACGGCCGTGATCCTGAGCGTGCAGTTAAAGACATACTGGCTCACAAGGCCAAAAAGGAAGCACGCTGAAGCAAACGCTCCAATAGTAAGTCCAATAATCGTGGTGGGTCCTAGCGGGTCTGACCAAACGAATGCGTATATTTGGGCTCTTTGTTTTTAGAGCCACCAGAGCTTGCGCCTGGTTCATCCAGCTGAGACAAACAACAAAAACAAAAACATAGCTCTGCGAAGGCCAACATCGCAAGTAAGGCAACTGCAGGCGATGGCGACAGGGGCTGGATATGGAGCGTAGCTTGCGTTTCCTCAGGCTGTGCGTGTCGTCGCCTGAGCCACCGGACACGTGGGCCTGAGTGAGATTTGCCCACGCAAGGCCCATTTCGCTGCTCTGCAAAGAGTATAATTGAGGCAAGGGCGGTGGCGCGCAGCCTACGCAGGAACCTGGCAAGCAGAATTGCAATGCAGAATTTCCAATATCAATCAAGGTCAAGCGCGAGGCACACCGCAAGTGTGAAAGAGTTCGATCTTGCAGCGGGCTGCCCTGGCCGCATGCTGGCAATCGGAGATTTCCAGACCGAGACCACGCCGGCCAGCGCAAAGACATGTGTCGCGTGTCACTTCCGGGCACGTGTTTCCTCGGCAGACTATGAAGAGCAGACGCTGCGCGCAGGGACATCGCTCTTTCCGAGGCAGGCTTCTTTCTCTGGAAGTTGGCGAACTGAGGAAGACTTTTCTTAACAGCCGCTTGTAAAGGGGCATCCTGACAGACGGTCAGGAGGCCAGGCAGAAAGAGCCGTCGATGTCGCCAGTCGGCGCCGTCAATGTCGTCAGTCAGCGCTGTCAACATCATCCGTCGCAAAAATAAGCCTTAATTTTGGCAAAATAAGGCTTATTTTACCAACAATAAGGCCTATTTTACAAAACATATGGCTTATTTTTGCGACTGACGACGTTCACGGCGCTATCTGACGACATTGACGGCGCCGACTGGCGACATCGACGGCTCTTCTTGCCTGACCTCTTGATCGTCACAACGCCTAAGAAGTTCTGTCAGGACGCCCCCGTACAAGCGGCTGTCAAGAGAAGTCTGTTTTATTTCGCCCCCTTCCAGAGAAAGAAGCCTGCCTCAGAAAGAGAGCAATGTCCTTGCGCGCAGCGTCAGCTCTTCGTAGTCTGCCAACACAAAAAAAACCAATACCGTTGCCTCAAGGAGGCATGCGGCTGGAAGTGACACGCAACACGGCAGCGCGCTTGGCTCAAGCCATCAGAATTAACTCAATGCTGACAAGGCTCTGCAAACATGTCCTTGCGCTGGCCGGCGTGGTCTCGGTCTGGTTGTATTCTTTGCAGAGCAGCAAAATTGCGTTGTCACTCAGGCCCACGTGTCCGGCAGCTAAGCCGACGACACGCATAGCCTGAGGAAACGCAAGCTACGCTTCATATCCAGCCCCTGTTGCCATCGCCTGCAGTTGCCGTACTTGCGTGGCGCGAGTTCAGCCCTTGCCTTTGCAGAGCTATGTTTTCGTTTGTCTCAGGTGGATGAACCAGGCACAGGCTCTGGTGGCTTTCAAAACAAAGAGCCCACACACACGCGTTCTGTCAGACCCGCTAGGACCCACCACTGTAGCGTTTGCTTCAGCCTGCCTCGTTTTTGGCCTTGTGAGCCAGTGTATTGCGCGCTCAGGATCACGGCCGCGGAGCAGAGGAAGCTTCACACATTGAAGCGCCCTGCCCAGTATACGGTGGACTTGCCAGTCTTCACGAAGATGGCTGGGTCCCAGCCAGCCGAACTGCGGTTGTATTCAAAATTGCCATTCAGATCTTAGCACCTCAACTAGCACGCAAACTTCCTAGTAGAATGGGGGAACCGCATGATGCGCAAGTCCGTATGTCCCAATGTCAGCACGCATGTCAAGTCGTGGAATTTGGCCGTCGTGCTGGACTTGTTTGTGCCGTTGGTTGCAGGCAGGCAGCTGTTGAGGCTGCAGGCCATCACGCCAAAGGAAGAGAACTTGCACAAGTTTTCAGTTTGTACGCAGCTTCATCTCGCAATTTCAGCCTCTCACCTTTCAAAGTCGATCAGCTATGACCAGTGGCCGACTGAAGCTGCAGTTTATTTCGCATTGTCGGCTCGGCCCCTTGTTAACTTTACGGCGACGGTCGCGGGCGCCATGCTTTTGGCCCCGATTGCGACTGTCGAAAACCCGACCAACAGCGAGCAAGCAAGAGGAGGCGCAGCAGATTAATGCCACGATGAGAGCCATGGATTGGCTGGCAAGCACGTCAGCCCGGGTGACTGCGCCATTTGATCAAGACCCCTTTGACTAGGCCAACGCATGTCCACGCGCAAGATGCGCCAAGCAAACTTGATCAAGCCTGTGACTTGTAGAGAAGATGATGGAGATGGAAACAGAAGCCAAGCAGCCACGTCGCGCGAAGGGAACAAGCAGCCATAGTTGCAGTTGCGGGCGCCAGCCCTGTCGCCCATTGACAGTTCCTTCTTTCCTCCTTTTCGTCCATTTTCTTTTTTATCGGTTTGAGGCGGTTTGTTTGTTGTTGTCGACGCTGTCGTCCGTCGCCGCCGTCGCAACCGTCAACGTCGTCCGTCGCCGTCGTCGCAACCGTCAACATTGCCACGTTTCCTGCCATGTTATCGTCGGAGCCGTCGTCGTCGTCGCGGTTCCCCGTCGGGTGGGTTGCCATACGCCCCCGTCATGATTCCAGCTGGGAACCACACATAGACTTTAAACTTAGATAACATTTACTCAACAAACTATTTGTTATTGTTCCTTTTCGGTTTTAAAGGGAATCGACTTCACTACTGGACATATTTTTCATTTTTTCCAGGGGCCTTCTCAGCAACTGGAAGGTTTGCGCCCAGTGAGTTGGAGTTTTCGGTGTTGGTAAACAAACAGTTTGACCTCTTTTTTTTGCCCAGTCCACTTCTGGGCTGACTCTGGAAGCAGAAAGCTGAGGCGCTTCCCGGGCGGAGAAAACTCGGCGTTCGGCTGCCAGGTCTACCCCTTCGGCACCCACAACTGCTGCCGCCGTCCCAAAGGCACCTGCCGCATCCGCCCGGGCCAAGCCAGCTGCTGCGCCTGACGAGACGCCGCTCGGATGGCCGCTCAACCGGCGGTTTGGGGTCGGTTTGCAGGTGAAAGGCAACAAATAACCCCAAAAACACGCGGTCCTCCAGATGTGGGGGTTGATTTTGGGATTTACATTCTACATTTCAACTTATGGTAGTTTAGTGGTTGAAATCCAACCACTTAACTGCTATAAGTTTGATTTTGGTTGCTCCCCTTCCAACGTCAACCAAGTTGTGCGGGTTGATCAATATTCCTGGCCCAAAGGACCATGGGTAACTATACCCATTTAGCGGCAAGCATCATTGTTTGGGTGGTTTTCCAACCAATGGTCAGCCCATGTAAAGGACCCTTTGAATAACCCCCATGTCGAATGTGTGTTTTTCATGCTTTTTCAGAGGGGCTCTTTTTTTACG